GTTCTGTTGCTGTGAAGAGACACCATGACCATGGTAACTCTTATAAGGAAACATTTAGTTGGGGCTGGTTTACGTTTCCGTGGGTCAGTCCACTATTGTCATGGCGGGAGCATGGCAGCCCACTGGCAGACATGGTGCTGGAGAGGTGGCTGAGAATTCTATATCAGATTGGCAGGCAACAGGAAGAGAGTGAGATACTGGGTCTGGCTTGAGCATCTGAGACCTCAAAACCCACCCCTAGTGACACACTTCCCCCAACAAGACCACACCTACTCCAACAAGGCCAATAATGCCACTTGCTCTGAGTCTATGGGGGCCATTTTCATTCAGACCACCACATTGGGAAAAAGCTTACAAGACCCTAGCCCTAGGTGAGGAGCTACAGGCAGTCCACTGAGGGAGAGTCAGTTTTTTTAGGAAGGAGTCGCCTGATGGCTGGCCAGTGCCCAAATAGTTAGCTCTATACTTAACGTGCACACAGGCATATAAGAAAACGGCATGAATTTGAAGAAGGAGGTGTTGGGAGAACACGGGAGGAATTGGAGGAAGTGTAGATATGATCAAAATGCATATACTTGTGTATGAAAAAAATTAAAAAATAAAAATGAAGGCTTTTGAAGAATGGTTTAATTGAAGATGAAGGCCCAGAAATGGAGCTCTGAACATGCCCCTAGACGCTTAATTTTTTAAAAATTTGTTTATTTCTGAGATTGGGTCTTACTATGTTGCCAGGACTATTCCCACATTCCTGAGTTTAAGCAATCCTCCTGACTCTGCCTCCTGGTTAGCTGTGACTGCAGGTGTGGGGGATGATGCCTGCTTTTCAGCAGAGTGAAGTTCTAGATGAAGCAGTGTGTGGAACTCACTCTTCGCTGGTAGGTTTCCAGAAGAGGCTGTTGGCAGCCCTGAATGAGCAAAGAGGTTGTGACTGCATGCTGAGCAGTCATGTTCTTCGGTTGGGAACGCCCTCTGTCCAAGGACTGGGACCACAGAGGCCAGACTCTGCCTTTGCCCATCCCCTAAACCAGTGCTAGATTCCTTCTGATGGCTGCACGCAGTGTCTTCAGATTCCCTTACTAAGGGGACTTGGGGGCTTTGGAGTTTTGGCGATACCTTTCTCTCTCTCAGTGTGTATTGAATGTCCTCATGAGTGCCTGTGCCATGGTCTCAGGTTTCAGTGATAAACACAATAATCCTGAAAGCATGGGGCATTTAACTCATTTTAAGTCTTTTTTGAGACACTTGCTTACTTTGTGAATCTGTACTGTAGTAATTCTGAAAATATGTGTATGTGAAGTTTCTGTATTATCACATATTTTAAATCCACCAGAGAAATGTAAAAATAGATGCTGTAAAAGGTACGTGACAGAGTGTGCAACTGGCTGAGTTAGTAGTGTACTCACAAGCACGAGGACCTATGTCTGATCTTCAAAGTCTATGCAAAAAAAAAAAAAAAAAGGGTTGACTTGGGGCTGCTGATGGTTCAGCGGTGAAGAGCATGTACAGCACCCACATGAGGCGGCTCACAGCTATCCACAACTCCAGCTCTCAGAGATCTGATGCCTTCTTCTGGCCTCTTCAGGCACCTGCATGCATATGCACATATCACACACATACACATATAATTAAAATAAAATGCATTAGAAATTAAAGAAAAAAGTATGCTTGATTATGAGCACTGGTAATTCCCTCTCTGGGAAGGTGGAGACAGACAAATCCCTGGAGCTAGCTGGTCAACCAGGCTAGCTTGCTTGTTTCGTTCCAGGCCAGTGAGACCTGAAAACAAACAGACAAAACACAGAAGGTGAACGGTGCCTAAGGAACTACACTCGGTATTGTCCTCTGGTGCCTGCCTGTGCACACCCACACACACTGGATTCCACCCTTCCATAAACACATGCATGTGTGTACCCACTCCACACCAAAGATACTTGATTTGTAGTCTTAGAGAAGTGGGTTCGTATACCTCTTGTGTTTTCATATATTTAGTTTCCTAAAGAGATGCATATCTTTAGTATAAAAACTGTCCCAGAAAAATGCAAATTGTAGTTAAGTCTATCACCGACTTGACGTGTGTGAAGCTGAGGTTAGGTTAACCCATCACCGAGTTCTCTTATAGCTCCTTAAGTTGTTGTTGTTTTTTTAACCACCTATGCAAGGACAAAACCACTAGAGGGCGCTAAGAGCACACTTACTTGGCCTGAAGTTCTCAGCACGAGAATTTGGAGTGTCCTAGCAAAACGGAACTCTAACTGAATGGCCAATTTCAGGTGTAAATGGGAGGACAACACAAGGCAGCTGTTTCCTTTTTCACACACATCTGTGCGTTAGTGCACTAATTGGCCCTCTAAACGCTCCCCTTCAAATGCCTTCAGGTCAGAAGACAGAAATGTGGGGCGCCTCTAGAACTTTCTAGTTTTGTGATAAACTGTGGGGATGTGGAGAGGGGATACGACGGAGTTTCTGAGAGAAAATAAACAGAGATGGGATAGTCTGTGAACCCACTGGTGACACTTCTGGTTGCGGTTGGACTCAGACTCACTGTTAGGGCGGGAGGGCGCCTGAGATTGCCTGGGGCTTGGGATGTGTTTTATTGAGTTATATTGGGTGGGAAGTCCGATCCCTATCACAGGGAAGACTTGAGACACAGTCAAAGTGAGGAATGTGGGAGAGACCCTACCTCAAATAAGATAAAGTGAAAAAGGAAAACAAAGACACGAGAGAGCTGGTGGGCGTTCACCAGAACCCGGAGAGCCTTGCTGTGGGATTGCAGCCTCCTCATCTGGGGCCCATGAAGCCATATCCTGTGGGCAGCGAAGGATTCTCAGGGCTTTTGTCCACTTGTTGGTGATGGGTCTCTGCTTCGGCGGCTGCCTGGCTTCCTTTGGAGTGGGTAATCATTTTACTCATGGCTAATTTATTCAGCCACATGTCTGCCGGCCTCCCTTAGGTAGTGTCCTGTGTGTGTTTGTCATGATAGGTTCCATGTTGACCCCCACTTTACAAATGAGAGGAGGCCAAGAAACACGAAGGGGGGCTGGTGAGATGGCTCAGATAAGGCATCGTTGTCAAGCCTGAAGACTGGAATTTGAATCCTGGGACCCACGTGGGGGAAGGGGAGAATTGACTCTTGCAAGGTGTCCTCCGACCTCTACACATGTGCCATGCACACATACCCACACACGTATACACGCACGCAAAATAAGTAAATAAAAATGTAATTAAAAAGATACATGCACAAAATTCTCAAGAAATGAATACAAATATTCTATTTTTTAAAAAAGCAATGTGAACTGTTTTGATCCCATAGCTGGTAGTAGTGGAGCCAGGATTCAAACTGTGCAGCCCAACTTGTCCACAGTACCAGCCCCATGTCAAGCACTGTAGGGTTATCCCACTGAGCCCACAGTAACACTAATGAAGTGTTTGCCATTCTCACTCCAAAGTGAAGAACCCACGAGTCACATAGGCTAAGAGACAGCTCACTGTCTCCTCAAGGCCAGTCCTCTCCAGAAGACTCAGTGAGATGCAGTGGCTCCAGTGTGGGAACAGCTGTGGTAAGCTCAACACCAATGGTGCGTGATTGGTGTCTGAGGCTTCAGAATGTTGCACACCAAGTTTTGTGTTTGTTGAAATACTTCACCATTTTAAATAGAATAGGTGGTGAGCTGGAAGTGGCCCAGATGACTAGATCAAGAATACTTTCAAGATCAGATCACGTCATATAGTAAGATAAGCCAAATGATTCCAAGGCTTCAAACCATGCAAGCCTGAAGCTGTAGCTCAGTAGTAGAGCACTTGTCTGGCATGCTCAAGTCCCCTGGGTTCATCCCCGGTACTTCCTTCCACCCAAGGGGCACAGAAAGAGCCCTATCTGAATGCATGTGGAGAAAGGGGCTGCCAGGCTGTGGTTGCTCATAGCTTCCGATTCCCACGCAATCTGGGCTGGTGGCTTCCTCAATGGAGAATAGAAGCTCACTTGTCTACGGTGATCTGGGCAGAGTGCCTCACTTTTAATGTATCAGAAGTGGAACATCAAGCCCTTTAGGAACATTCAGAAAGTGATAACCAGGATGGGTTCCCAGGAACGGTCAGGGACAGTGATGAGATGGACCCATGGATTCCCTTCCATAGATGTGAGAACTTGAGGAGCTGATCCTTTTGGGGGCTGTGTCTTCTGTGTGGAATTGACAGTTGTTCCCACTACAAAGTGTGGAGAATTCACACAGTAAGCATTATTAACAGTACTGTGTGTAACTATTGTCACCGTTATTGTGATCAGAGCTAACTGCTGGAGTGTGTGTGTGTGTGTGTGTGTGTGTGTGTGTGTGTGTGTGTGTGTGTGTGTGGTATGTGTGGTGTGGATGATGCCCAGAACTGAACCTGGAGGTAGAGGGGCAGTCAGCAAACCCCAGAGATCCTTCTGCCTCAGCCCAGCTGCACTGGGGCCACAGACTTGCAGGCCACACCAGGCTTTTTACGCACCAGGCTTTTTTAAATTGGGCGCTGGGGACTGGGATTCAGGTTCTCGCGTGTGCATGCAGGAAGTGCTTTTACCCACTAAGTCATCTCCCAGTCTTTTCCTGTGATAACATCGGGGTGCTGGTCCCCTCGGTTCCTTAGGGCCATAGGAAGAATTTACAGCTGGAAAGAGGGAGCGAGTGGGGAGTGGGTAGAAGTTGAAGAGGAAGACCCCGACACAGAGACGAGAGAGAGGCCCCAAGAAGAGAGACAACGCTCAGTGAACGCAGCAGGAGTGCGGCGCGCCCCTGACACTCTGCAGGTCTCCATCAGGATGGGATTAATTTACTTTCCAGCGCTGACCGTGCGTGCGTCACCGGCCCCGCGGGGCGGCCTGCTGCCCCCTCCCGGTCCCCTGCTCCCTTCCACGCCCGGTTCCGGAGCCCGGTCCGCGATTGGCCGGCTCGGCCCGGGGCTGTCGCGGATTGGCGCTTGCTGGCCGGGGCCACCGAGTTTAAAGAGGGGGCGGGGGGCGCTGCCCAGCAGCGCTGCTGTCCCCGCCGTGCGCACCTGTCTTCGCCGCAGCTCGCAGCCTCTCCCGCTCCACCTCGAGGGTCCCGGAGCCAGCGGCTCGCGAGGGCGGCAGAGGGCAAGCCTAGGGCAGGCTCTGTCCAGGCCGGCGCAGGAGGCACAGTCCGTGAGGGTCGAGCACTGCGGCCACCATGGTAGCCACGTGCCTGCAGGTGGTGGGCTTCGTCACGAGCTTCGTGGGTTGGATCGGCATCATTGTCACCACGTCTACCAATGACTGGGTGGTGACCTGCAGCTACACCATCCCCACCTGCCGAAAAATGGACGAACTGGGCTCCAAGGGGTTGTGGGCCGACTGCGTCATGGCCACTGGTCTCTACCACTGCAAGCCCTTGGTGGACATCCTCATCCTCCCGGGTAAGAACCCTGAACTCGCAAGGAGCTTCCAGAGGCAGGCTGGGCCAGAAACGGAGGTTTTAGACAGAGTTCGCAGAAGTTTGAGGACTCAGAGACCTCTGGGCACATTTTTGACATTTCCAATCCCACCTTGTAGGAGAATTAGCCCTAAGCAACCACCTGTGCCCTCAGTTTTTTTTTTTTTTTTCTTAAATCTGGAACATGGGATAATAAAGGCAATTTGGCCACTGGTAACACTGGTCAATGGCTTTGAGAACTTAATGAATCCATTCTGTACACATAGTAGGAACTCACTCTTGTTAATTCCTATTACTTCCTCATCCCAGGTTCCCAAGCTAATGGACCAAAGACACAGAAGCCTGGCCCCTGCCTTCTCTGATGGGCTTCTGATTAGAGCCAGTCTGTAGATGTGAGGAGGAAAGATCACAGTACTTGGTGCCTCCACTAAGTACAGGTGAGCCTCTGAGATGGGACTCAGAGCCATCCCGGGAGGTTAGGGTCACATGCAGGATTCTCTGGACGGCCCAGATTAGCGAGTCTCAGTTGGTCCCCTCAGGTCTCATGGCCTGTCTTGTCTGACCCAGCACCATCCCTGCCCTTTGCCCTGGGGTCCTTCTGCAGTGCCACCCCTCCTCTGTTAGGGTGACATCCTTCCCCAGTTCCTCGGAGCAGGCTGCTGGGTATTGAGAAGAAACAGCACCCCCGGAGAGGGGCACTCCACCAGAGACAAAGGTCCGTGCTGGGGTCACTCGAGGGCTTGCAGCTGTGTCCTCGGGTGTGCGTGGGAGGACCGATGAGCCTCCAAAACGCTGGGTGAGGGAGTTTGGGAGGGCGCATCTTCCTTTGTGTCCTATGGGAAAGTTCGTGGAAACAGTTTGAAACCTGTAGCCGGTGGATGGCTTGGGAGGTGGTGAGCACCACCGGCAGACTCCTGCTAGAAATCTGTCACACCTGTGGTTTTACTGTCACTGAGGTGAAGTTCCCCGGCTCCCTCTGACCTTTGATGATGTGTATATTTAAGAGCATAGCCAGGCCTTAAGATGAGGAGAAATCAGCCCTAAAGTTACTGGCCTGGGAGCAGCTGAATTTGTGCCTTCTTCAGAGCATTTGGCTTTCCAGAGACCTGTACCCCTTTGAGAGCCCTAAGTACCCACTCTTTTCCATACAGGGCATTTGGAATTCACCTCCCTCCACCCAGCTCACTTACTGCTCACTTCTTACCTTTATCCCAGGATGCTGTATTGGGAATGGAACCCTGGGCTTTGTTCATGTTAGGCCAGGTCATTACGACTGAGCTATACCTCCACCCCCATTGCATTTTAAGTTCTCTTTGCATTCGTTCCTAGTCCACACCTTGCTTCTACCGCATGGTAGGAGGGCCCAGTGCATGTCAGAGCCGCCTTTCAGCACCCCTTTCTGCATTTGGACATTCCGAAGGACAGGCACTAAGGAACCCTAGTGTGGACTCAGCTTCAGCTAATGCTGACTTTGGTGGACGTGGGTTAGACTCCAGGACCCAGCACTCACGATCTGGGTTCTTCCCCGGGACAAGTTGCGAACCTCAATAAACCCTAGGAGGTCTTCTCTAAAGAATTTAAACCAAACCAGCCACTCATCTTCCAGGATTGCTTGCAGCAGTCAATGGGACCAGAAACGAAGGCTCCCTTTGAAGTAGGAGATGTTCTAGAAAGGGCAAATGTCATTTTCTACTGACAGATGGGCATGGCAGTAGAGATTTCTGACTGATGTATAAATTCCCTTTGTTTCCTTCCCCTGAAATTACATTTCCTGAGCATGTGATGCCAAATGGCTTTTTTTTCAGAGCACATAGGCCATGCTAGGGGCAGGGAGTATATTTTGTAGAGAAGCTTGATTGTTTTATGCTTCCTTACCTTATCCATTGTGTGTGGGTAGGGGCACTCCTCTATCTCCGACTTCTGATTTCCAGACATGGCCTTGGGACTGTAGCACGTGGACAGCCTTGTGCCGTAAGTTTCAGAGCATCAGTTTGAGCTGACTGCTGCCTTTGTGTGGGCCCTGGCTCTTCTCCCAGCTGCCAGGAGGGGCTGAGCCTCAGACTTCTGGGCCTCCTCCTGGGATCTACAAGTCTATGATACCTGATATAGGTTCTCTCATCCTGAAGATGAGCTAGACGGGCAGTGGTCGGAAGAGAGTCCATGTGGCATACCTTGCTAAGGGGCAGTGTTGGTGCTGTGTGTTGGAACAAAAGGGAGGTTGGCTGGGTCTGACATGGGGTCCTGGTACCCGGGAAAGAATTAGGGTCAATTCTTGGCTTTGCCATTAACTCAGCGTCACTCAGGCCACTAGCTCTAACTCTGCCTAGGCAAATTGAAACAAAACAGACAGCCATCATTTATAAGTGCAACACTTTTTGTCTAACGTGGGGAGAATGTTTCAATGAGAAACAATAAATGATGTAAAAATGTAATAGTAAATTTAAATTTCCTGGTGAAATTCTCCTGGTTTCTGTTCAGCTTTATTTTACATAAAGTTGTGCATATTATAATCTGTGTCCTCATCGAGTTCTCACTTAGCATTTTTAGTTGACAGCACAGAGTGGCTACTTTTGCTCTACATTTCTCTTTCAACTCACCTTTTCCTTCATCGATAGTTATGTCATCTGTTATGGGGGCATGAAGACCAAGACAGGGGTCTACTCTACAGGCATCCCCAGGGCTGGAGAGACATCTTTTAAGCCTTGACAGATGGCACCATTAATAAAGCAGGAAATGGAACTTGACCATCTAAGGGGATGGGAGTCACGAGGACAGCAGCCTTGGGATGGGGGAGAGAGGGGTAGTCTCAGTCCTAGCTTGTAGTATAGTCAGGGCTACACATATTCACATCCACTGTGGACTGAGGACAAAATCACCAGTACCCTGAAGATACCAGCACCACACTATGCTGAGTGTGGTGTCTCATGCCTGTAATTCCAGCTCTGGGGAGGCTGAAGCAGGAAGATCATGAGATTGAGAATTGCCTGGACTATGGTGAGTTCCTGTCCTTAAAAAAAAAAGTATCGCCTTGATACAGAGCAATAACATCAGTAATACTTGCTGCCAGTCTTTCAGTGCTTAGCATAGAACATATTCTGAAGACTCTTTGAAGTGTGAATTTCATTGCCAGTGGAGTTAGTTCTATTAGGGAGGAGGAGGGGCCTTATGATTATCGCTCTGGAGACAAGGAAGCAAGATGCAGTAACTGACTCGCTAAGGTTCCGCAGCCCGACGGTGTGGCAGTAGACCGGAGTCAACAACCCGCCATCATAGGTGACCTTTTAGCATTTGAGTGTCTAGGTGAACCTTTAACAAGGTGTTACAGCAGTGTAAGCAAAGGCTCGGCTGCTCCACCGTGGCCAAGTGGTCTGCATCCCTACCTGGCTTCTGTTTCTCTAGCGCTCTCACTGCTCTTGTCACCAAGTTTCTTTAAAAGTTAAAGGTGCAGGGTGACCTTGGACCACACTGATCACATTTTAGGTCTTAGAGGGGACAAGGAGGAGGAAGGTGGTGTTGAATTCCCGAGAGGTGGGACTCAAGAGTAAGAGGACCCCAAGTCTAAGCCGCCCCTTCTGTTCTCTCGTTCCAGGCTACGTGCAGGCTTGCAGAGCCCTCATGATTGCTGCTTCAGTTCTGGGTCTGCCAGCCATCCTTCTGTTGCTGACGGTTCTTCCCTGCATCCGCATGGGCCACGAGCCTGGAGTGGCCAAGTACAGGCGAGCCCAGCTGGCCGGGGTGCTCCTCATCCTGCTGGGTAAGCTTTCTCTTTGGCTCCCCCACTCTAGTGAATGTGAAGGAGCTCAGATCTTGGAGTTGCTACTTCAAGAGAAATGTGAAAAGAAGTCAAGAGGACATCCTGGGCAACAGAAACCCAGAAGCTGTGTCCCTTTAGGTTACATTCCAGAGGAATGTAGACAGGATCCGAAGTTACATCTATGAGAAGAGCTGGTGGGTAACAAAAATGACTACCTAAGGAAAATTGGAAGGAAGGGGCTGTGTGGCGGGTCGCTAGGCAGGATCCACAGTAGAATCCCTTTAGAATAACTTATTCACAGACCTCATAGCAGATCAATTAAACTGGAATTTTCTGGTGATCAAGTCAGGAAAGATATTTTTTTAGGAGGCTCCCACGGTGGTTCTAAACACAATAAGAAATGAGAGCCTCATTAATATCTAACAAAAGGACAGGGAGCGAAGAGCACAAAGGAAAAGGTGTGGGGGTGGTAGACCAGTAGGTGATAGATGAATGTTTTGTTAAGCAAGTGTTCATTAATCAACTACAGCAGGCAGTTGGGTAGGCAATGGGGACCCTGATGGGGAAAAGGAATGTCTGCTTTGGGTGTGTGTAGACACTCCAGGGTATGGAGTCTGGGGAGGTCACCTTAAAATGGCTTGTATGCATTGTACAGGGGGACAGCCCCTAAGTCACACTGGAGGGGTTTCCCAGAGCACTGGACTCCAGAGAGTTGAGGAGCGGTGACAGGTCATGGATGGAGGGGGGAACAGTCTGAACTGGGGTGGTGTGTGCTCATTCAGTTTCGCTGATCATACCTGCACATAGGAGCTTGATTCAACGCCCTGCTGAGGGTCTTGTCTCTTCCACTACAAAAATAAACGCTGGCAAGAAGCACAGGTGTAATCTTAGCCCATGCCAGGTGAAGGCAGGAGGGTCAGAAGTTCAAGGTCATCTCCTTGGCTAATGAGGATAGCCTGGGATACATAAGACTCACTAGTACTCTTTTTCTTTTTTTGAGTTTTCAAGACAGGATTTCTCTGTGTAACAACCCTGGCTGTCCTGGAACTAGCTCTGCAGACCAGGCTGACCTCAAACTCACAGAGATCCACCTGTCTCTGCCTCCCAAGAGCTAGGATTAAAGGCATGCGCTACCAGGGCCCCAACATAAGACTCACTGGAATAGATAAAATACATTGTCTCAAAAAATAGAGATTTTTTTCTTACCTTTCTCCTAAGAGCTCCAAGTGAGACAGGGGTCTAAACAACTGCAGAGTGGCCTGTGGGAAGGAAAGGAACAAGTGAAGTGTGGAGATGCAAATTGTGGGTTTGCTTTGCTTTGTTTCTGGTTTTTGAGTTTTTGGGGAAGCAATGTGTGGTTTGAAACTTCCCAGATGAGTCTGCTTTTCACTTTTCATATATATATATATATATATATATATATATATATTTGAGACAGAGTTTATATAGGCCTGGCTGTCCTGGAACTCCCTATGTAGACCAGGCTGGCCTTGAACTCATCAATCCACCTGCCTCTGCCTCCCAAGTCCTGAGATTAAAGGCGTGCACCACCACCTGGCTGGTTTTTTTTTTTGACTTATTTTTTTCATATATTTATGTGTGTGTGCACCTGCACAGAGGACAGTTGGTTCTAACCTTCCACCATGTGGGATCCAGAGAACAAACTCAGGTCTCCAGCCTTGGCAGCAAGCACTGGCCTAAGTTTTCTTTATCTTTTGAAGGTGGCTTGGTATAGGAAGACAGTTTGATAGCTGAGGAGAGTGAGGTGGAGCTGGAGAGAGGGTGTGCATCTGTCAGTCCGTTTGTCTGTCTCCAGCCAACCTGTGGGTGAAAAGAAACCTGAGCCCAAGGAAGCTGAGCCTTGGCAGCAGCTCACCGTAAGGATGGGATGGATGGAGGAGCTTGAAGTCCAGGTCTAGCCTCACATTTTGATACTGCCTGCCTCTTTTGATTGCTGTCAGATTTATTTCTCAGCAGGTCTCCCCTGGCCTTCGGGTTTCATGTTGTCTTGACTGGATGGAGCTGGCTCTGGAATGTGGAGCTCATTGTCTCAAGGGTGTTATCTGCTGCTTTTCTTCACGTCTTCTCTCCCCCAGCCACAAGGCCCTTGTTTCCACCCTCACGGATGGGTGGGAGAAGCCACAGTGTGAAGGCTCCCTTTGTGTGTAGCTCTGGGTTGTTTTCTGCCACTCATCACTCTCTGGGGAGAAGTTGGTCCTGGGCCCATGCTCAGTCCTGGGGGTCACTGGTGATGTCCCAGCTGAAGTATAGCTGCTGAGCATGAAGTAGTGCTGGAGCTGGGGGCCTGGAAATGGGCAGTGTCACAGCTGGTTCTGATGCGGAAACTGGTCCTGAAAATCTCTTGACTATTTTTTCTGAAGGCTTTTTAAAGGAAAGCCCGCCCAGGAGCTTGATTCTGTGGCTTCTGAAGCCAGAGGCAGTGTGGGAGGAGCAACAGGTGCCTCAGAGCTGGGGAAGATGGAGGCCCTGGGCCCTAACTTTTTTCATCTTGTCGGTTTGAGGCAAACCAACGGCACTGAATCAGGATGCCACTGCCCTCCAGCAGAGTCAGCTGGGGCAGCTACTGCCTCTGAACAGCCATGCTTCCTTCCCAGCTTAGTGAGGACAGCGTGATGAAGTATGGGGAGTATTTAGCGTGGCATCTGGCACAGAGTAGGTCACGGTTGCCATGATTGTGGTTACTATTGGCTAGAGGGAATAGAGAGCCAACCCAATCACGTTTGAGTTCCGCAAGGGTCATGTCCACGCACAGAACTGGAGAGGACAGCCGTGATGTTGCACTTCCAAAAACATCACCTGCATCCTGACTAAATGGAAATGGGCCTCCATAGAAATCAGAATGTGGGCACCCACAGGTGAGATGGTCACTGTTCCCATCATGAAGGGACCGTGACTCCTTGTTCGGATTCGTTCATTCTCCTGCGCTGTGGAAAGCGCTTCAGCTGCGTGTCTCCTGGGGTTGGGCTGGGAGGAACCGGGACTCGCCTTCCTTGGGGACTTCTTTCATCTTTTCTTCCCCCTTTAAACTTCTGGTGGAAAAGGTTGTTTCAGCTGCACACTACTTCAGGTTAATGGTGAAGTGTACTAGAATCAAGGGTGTGGCCACATGGGAGATGAACTGCGTGTTGTGCTTACAGGTTTCCTACCGGGAAAGGGAATCCTGCGTTTGGAAAGAGTGAGGTTCTTAATCCAGAGCAAGGGAGAGCAGCTGGAGAAACATCCCAGACTTATTTACTGTATACACACAAGACCCTAGTCTAAGTAAAAGTCCCTCTGGGTAGTGGAAATGATGAGGCATCTTTGTATGGCAGTGAGTCTGCTGGTAAACAGAGGCCCTAGATGCTGCTGTGCGAACACTTTCTGTGATTGTTCTTAAAAAATATATTAACAAGTGCCTGGTATAGAGGAGAGCAACTGGGGACTAGCTTCAAACCCTAGCAACACGTACACAAACAATAAATAAGAATAAAATTAAATTTAACAGATAACCGTGAGACTTGTTTTAGAATGCTGTAGGAAACAGTAGATGATGATGTGTGCAGTAAAAGCAACGAGAAGAATGTCAGTGTTGAAAGCTGGCCAGGAAAATAACGGACTCGAATATTCCACTGACTTGATGAGTGCTAGTTTCCTGACTATCTCTGTGTGGGAGGAGCATGACCTCTGCCGGCTGCTCCCTTAGGTCATTGCTTTAGGAAACAATAGGCAAGAAAAGAAAAACTCAGGCTTTTCTAGATCCATATGGGAAAAGAACAAATAAATATGGCTGCACAGCTCACTGAGAAAGAGATATTACTTTCCCTTACCCTGCGCCCCATTCCCGTATGTAGGCTTCAGACTCACTATCCCAGTGCAGTTCAGCTCGGCTTCCCGGTCGTCCTTCCACTTTTCCACGCGCCGCTGCCCAAGGCCTTAGATGTTCCTGGTGACTATCTCAGTGCACCGAGGAGGATACAGTCAGAACAGCTCAAGCAATTTAACCGTGCTTTAAAAAGTCCCTTCAGTGCCTAGTATAGACGCGGGAAGGCCTGAAAACACACGCACACGTCATGGAAGAAGAGATGCAGGTGTCTGGGGAGTTCCCCACATCTGGTGTCTTTTTCTTTCTCTATTTTTCTCTTGTTTGTTACCTGAAAACTCAGACACATCTGCATTCATTTTATTTAACTTCATCCTATCTTCTTTCCCTGTGTGTGTGTGTGTGTGTGTGTGTGTGTGTGTGTGTGTGTGTGTGTGTGTGTGTGATGTGCTCCTGAGAGGGTATGTGGAGGACCTAAGCTGTCCTCTATCACTTTTTGCCTTATCCCCTGAGACTTGGAACGAGGCTGGAAGTCAACAGGTTCCAGTGATCTTCCTCTTCTGTCCCCTACAGTTCTGGGGTTACAGACTCAAGTGGCTATGCCCAGATCTTTATGTGGGTACTGGGGATTTGAGCTGAGGTTCTCATTGTTGTGCAGTAAGTGCTTTTACCCACTGAACCTCGCCCACATTTATTTATTTTTCTTTTGCTACTTTTTAGTTGACACCTAATAATTGTACATATTTAAGAGGTTGTGTGCATCTCATTTACTTAATTCCTGAATATTACCATGTGTTATTTAACCTCTAAAAAGATGGGAAGATAGACTTAAATTTCCCTTTTGTAAACTATCTTCCTAAATACTTTGTTTAGTTAAGATAGATTAGGAACTTTTAGCAAAGATGCATCCTTTCAACTAAGGGACACATTGTATTGCATTATTTGAAAATTGTCCCTAATACATGCCAACGTTCTCACTCTTTAACAAGGAGGGGATTTTATGCATGGGAGGGCCAAATCCGTGTGTGTCTGAATCGCTTTCTTCCCCCCCTCCACCTCCTCCCTTACTTAGCTTCTCTTCCCCTCAACAGACTGCAGAATCCCACTTCTTCCTGTGCAGGTTCGGAATGTATGGATTGAGGGAGTAAGAAATCTGAGTGCAAAATTGCTATCTTGTCTTAGAGACTTAATTTAAAAACAAATTCTGACCTATATAAAGAAGGGAGGCATCGGGTTGTTTATCTTTCTTTACCTTATGGGTAACTGTGACTTTTCATAAAAACCTATTATTTTTTCCCAGATAACAGGACCATTTCAAACTCCGGTTTTTGGGGGATGGGATGGTAGGTACACAGATGGAAACAGGCCTAGTGAGCCTGTGCCTTTGGGAAAGCCAACAGTGGCTGTGGTTTTTCACTCTTCCAGATTGGTCAGTGAGGTGGTGACTTGGCTTGTATTTCCTAACTTGACTGGTCAATCAGCTCCTCCATGCCCCCTCACCTGCCCAAAGCTACTGCTGAAATGGAGTATATTCTCTATTCTCCTTTGTTTGTGTCCAAACACTTTCCCTTTCGAGTTCAGCTGGGGTCACTGCAGGTCAGCCTCTAGTTCCCTTTCCTGTGGTGGTGGCCTGTCTTTTCTTAACGCTTTTGATGTGGCTCACCTTTGGGTGCCACAGGAATTCCACCCGAGTTTGTGCATCTGCTGGGAAGGAAGGGGCCCATTTGCCTTGCTTTGCAGGGGTTATGAAAGCAGCGGGAGATTTTAATGAGGTAAACTGTGAGTTTGTGACTCTCATTGTGTTACAGTCACATTCAAGTTTGTGGTTGGGGTGTAGGCAGGGGAAAGTGGGACCAAAATGAGACGACCTTTCATTCATCTGTCTGTCCATCCATGCATCTGTTCATCCATCTGTCTGTCTTTTATTTGTCCACCCACTGATGGGTTCAGTTCTATGTGGTCACTATATAAATGTATAAGCATTCTCCTCTTCTCTAGTGAGTCACATACAGTAAATCTAACAACTTCTCTAACACATGCAAAGTCAGCCATCATCCGTGGGACAGGAAGCCTGGCTCTTCCTAGCTGCTTTATCTGTGTTTAGGAAATAAAGGGATGCTAAGTGCATTGGAGACCATTTTTGGTCTTGCTGTTTACAATCTAAAGCTAATCTGAATGTTCCTAGTTTTCACAAAGGGGAGGAATGGTATAAGCACTTGTATGCATGAGTGTGCATGTATGTTCTATGTGTAAATACAAAGTAGCCCAAAAGGATAACACTTAATTTGAACCATGGAGTGCTTTGAAACCAGTTAGCTGTTTATGGGATGGACTGGCTGTATTGACTTGAGTCAGTTGTTTGGGAACGAGACCTTTTTCCTTACGCTTCTCACTCCTTTGCCTGCTCCTCTCAGTGTACCTGGGCAGGAAAAGCTTTTGCTGATGGCTGGTGTGTCCTTTCTGAGGCTAGGAATGACCTCTTTTTTGTTGTGTATCAGGGGGTGCATCTTGTCATTGTTAATAGAACTGTTGTAGGCTACATGGTAAATGTGATGAGATCATTTCAAATCTTTCCAAATGAGTAAGACTTGAATCCTTAGTTTACAGTTGACATTAAAGAAAGACTGTATTTCCTCTCCGTGCTCAGATAGTGTAACTTAGAAAGCTCGTGTAGAAACCAGAAAAATAGCTTGGTGCGTTGAAAGCCACAAGGGCACCCCAGGAGACAAACTCTGGGCTGGCGGTGTGGTGCTGCAGCTTGAACTGGTCCATGGTTTTTAGGATGCCAGCTGGAGATCTCGTTGTTCTGATTAGTGTCATGTTGGGCAACTCTAACCGGCCATCTCAAGTTAAAGTTTTTACTAAAATTTCTGTCCTGCTGTGGTTGAGAGAGGTCAGACTATACCAAAGGGAACCGTGGGGTTTTGTTTCGAGCTGTGTTGTCCAGTAAAATAGTCATTAGATACATGTGGCCATTTGAGTGAAAATCATTAAAATTAAAAAAATCAAGATTTCAGTCTCACTAGCCCCATGGCATAAGTGAAACGACCCTGTGTAGCTTGTTGCCACCCTATTTGGTAGAGTGGTTTAAATGTTTAAATTTCCTTTAAAAAATCTGGACTACCGAGAAGGCTCAGCAGGTAGAGGCACCTGCCTCCAAGCCTCACAGTTTGAGTTCGACCCTTGGTACCCATATTGTGGACTCTGGAAACTTGTTCTCTGACTTCTACACATACCCTGCGACGTGTGTGCTCACTTATACACATACTCACATGCAATAAACAAATTAAAAAGTAACGAAAAATTAAAATCCTTGAATAGAGGAACTATTTTTACCCAAAGAACTGGGTAAAAACTTGATCATGAATGACACCACACAAACTTAGACCCTTGCCTGGTCCTCTGTCAATACCTAGCAATGCTCACTCCAGCAAGAAAAAAGTGATAGCTCACCCAGGTCTTTGTAACGTGGATCTACGAATTCAAGAAAATGGTGTGGAAAACTGAGATGGGTATCTTCTTGTTTCTCATTTTGAAGAGCCTGATTATTTACTCATTCAGCCAGGAAACTCTTGAGCTGTGTCTGATGCTGAGCTGAATCTTGAGTTTCTACACATTAATAAGGCATGGGGTGAGGGCTAGACACATAAAGCCATAAGTCTAATATGATAAGTCAGTATGATAAGAGAATTGTAAATCTAGAGAGCTGGGGATGAGGCTCAGTCAACAGAGTATGCCTAGCAAACTGTGGGGTTCCATCCCTGGCACCCCATAAACTGGTTGTATTAGCTCGTGTCTGAAACCCCAGAACTCAGGGCATGAGATTCAGGGTTATTGGCTATAGAGCATGGCTTCTTTTTTTTTTTCTTTTTTTTTTTTTTTTTTTTTTTTTTTTTTGGTTTTTCGAGACAGGGTTTCTCTGTGTAGCTTTGCGCCTCTCCTGGAACTCGCTTGGTAGCCCAGGCTGGCCTCGAACTCACAGAGATCCGCCTGGCTCTGCCTCCCAAGTGCTGGGATTAAAGGCGTGCGCCACCACCGCCCGGTGAGCATGGCTTCTTAATGAGTGCAAGGTCATCCTGGACTATGCGTTCCTTGACTTGAAAAACTCAAAACTACGGCAGCAAACACAGAAACGGAACCTGAACTAAAAGTAACACGTGTAAGTAAAAACAAGTACTTGGGTTCGGGGCTTAAACGATTATATTAAGTCTTTATAAGGGTGTTTGCCTCAGCCGCCTGTTGAGAAAAACAAGGACCAGTCATTGAACACAGCCCATTTTAAGTCAGCTCATTCCACCGAGCAGAGGTCGCCAAAGAAGCAATGCTTTGTGTATCGGTGTTTTCGGAGGAGCGCATTGGAAGGGCGTGTCTGTGGCGTGAACGAGCCTGCCCAGCGCACTTGGTGTGTGACGGGTGTGCCCAGTCACCCTCTCTCCCTGTCTCCCCAGCTCTCTGCGCCATTGTCGCCACCATCTGGTTCCCTGTCTGCGCCCACCGTGAGATCACCATCGTGAGCTTTGGCTACTCGCTGTACGCAGGCTGGATCGGAGCTGTGCTGTGCCTGGTGGGTGGCTGCGTCATCGTCTGCTGCTCCGGGGACGCACAGGCATTTGGAGAAAACCGTTTCTATTACTCCTCTGGCTCCAGCTCGCCAACGCATGCCAAGAGTGCCCACGTATAAGAGGGCTGCTCCGCTGCCCACCGAGGTGCTGGGCCTGGGGCCCTGGGTTTCCTCCGTAGTGGGGAGAAGCCCATTTCTCTGCCGGGCACTGAAGCCAAAGGTGTAGAAAGTGTCCCGCCTGGCGGTTTGCAGTCCTAACAACCCATCCGCCCCACCACTTCTTGGTTCTTAAAAGAAATCTCTAGCTCAGATAATGCCCACATAGTTTTCTCCTGGTGTTGACCGCTTTTAGCTCTTTCCTTGGGCATTCCATTGTTGTTGATTAAAAAAATATTTTGTTTCTTTCTTAAATTCAAATATCTTGGGAACATTGCTGACTTGGGTGTGGATTGGGAGAGAGATAAAAGACACTTTTCAAACGGTTACTGATGACAATGGAGGCCTCATAGAGACACAGCTGTTTTTTCTTCCCCCTTGAGTTTCAAGGTCACTTGCATATAAGAGATAGAAAATGGGAACACGGGTGGGAGGGACTCCTGAACGTTCTCTCTGCGGGAATGCTTCCCTTTTATAAGTTGTGGGGTCAGGACTTTTTTTTTAGTTTGTGATTTTACATTTATCTGTACATACTTTTTCAAGATCGATCATTTTTATAACCATGGGTTTCCTGAAATTTTCAACTCACCAATATGAAGGAAATGAACCACACAGATTTTAATATGCAGTAAGTAACAGTACGAAGATTATAACTTTAACTGCCCGTCCACGATTTCCAGGTTTGTATGCTGTAGGTTTTAGTTCTACAGTTGTGTATGCTTCAAATTAACACCTTTTAAAAGCTTTTCTCGCCCTCTACCTCTGTCTCCATTCTGTCAGCGATCTTGAAGCGATGCTGTTTAACATAGATTGTACTGTTGAATTTGGCTAAACACTGATGGTCTGTCGGGATCCGAGACTCTAGACACCCCACACAGGCTTGGTGCATTTTGTTAAGGTAAAATCTGTGCAATAAAATAACAAAGTGTCTCCCAAACTGGTCTTTAGTCTTCTGTTGTATTCAGAGTATCATCTGATTTAAAACAAAACAAAACAAAACTCATCAAATTAATTTCTGATCACAAGCTAAGAACACATTGTTTGGGGTTGGTGAAGTGCTTACTGCTGAAGCATGGGGATTTGAGTTCAGTTAGAGTCAGCCAAGGGTTGGTAGCCCCAGTACCCTCTCTCCTCTCTCTGGCTCTCTGCGTCATGTGCTGTGTAGTCAGGAGGATCCCTGGGGAGTCTAGACAGTTGGGAAACTCCAGGTTCAGTCAGAGATCTTGTTTAAAAAAGGAAAAAAAAAAAAAAGATAATGTGCCTAGCATGGGAGTTCACGCTTTTTTTTTTTTTTTTTTCTTTCCTGAGACAGGGTTTCTTTGTGTAGCCTTAGCTGTCATAGAATTCTCTGTAGACCAGGCTGGCCTCCAACTCACAGAGATCCACCTGCCTCTGCCTCCTGAGTGCTGGGATTAAAGTCATGCACAGCCACCACCACCTGCCTTCACACCTTTAATCTCAGAACTTGGGAGGCAGAGTCATGGGGATATCTGTGAGTTCATCTTGGTCTGCAAAGTGAGGTCCAAGACAGCCAGGGCTGCATAGAGACCCTGTCTCGAACAAAAACAAAACCAAACAAAACGAATCGACCAAACCACCAGACAACAGTAAGGATTAGGGTTGGGGGAGATGCCTCGTTTACCTCCGCCTTCCACAGCTCCAAGCTCCCGAAGCCGGTAAGAGCTGGAGCAGCAGTGCCTGAGCTGGTGCCTCCACATCAGGAGGCAGGGACAGGGACAGGGCAGTTACCAGAAGCTTGTGGGTCAGCTGGCAGCCGGAACCTGAGAGACCCCGTTGAGGCAAGGTTGAAGGAGAGGAAGGAGAGGAGGCTTTCTGCCTCCCACGTGTGCCTTCGCGCCTGTGCTCCCCCAAACACACACAGACACAGACTGAAAACGCTAATTTCATCATCGAGTATAGGGTATCCTTAAGATCGACAAACGCTCTCTCTGGAAGTGCCCATGCCCAAATACCATAGTAGAAACAATTTCTAAGTTACTTATGCAGAAAAGTCCTCCTTCATGCTAACAAACATGACTGATTTGTTAGGCTGGCTAGAGGACACCCTTACCTCACTGCCCGTGTCAGGGTTTTAGGATTATGAACGAGAAGGACAAACAGCCCGTGGGAGAGAGTGGGCAGATGACCACTCTGAAGCACCATCAGGCCAGGAGTCTCTGTCTTGGGGGCTTGTGTTTTTTTCTCTCCTGGATCTTTCTCTGAGGCTGCTGCTTGCTGACTCTCAGGAGAGGATGTGTTACCTCTGCAGCATCTGGTCTCCTGGATGCTGTTGCCTGACTAATCCAGGAGCACATCCTGCAGGCTGTGTCCGAAGTGTTGGGGCTTGTTACCAGTTTGCTGGAGGAGACTAGATGATCTTTGAGAATACCATCATCCAACGGGAAGCTGTGAACCATGTCCGAGCCTCGGAAATTCCTGATAGCCACATTTTAAAAAAGCTGAAACTGCTGGGCAGTGGTGGCGCACGCCTTTAATCCCAGCACTCGGGAGGCAGAGGCAGGCGGATCTCTGTGAGTTCGAGGCCAGCCTGGTCTCCAAAGCAAGTTCCAGGAAAGGCGCAAAGCTGCACAGAGAAACCCTGTCTCGAAAAACCAAAACAAAACAAAACAACAACAACAAAAAAAGCTGAAACTGCACAAGTGAAGGAATTTTAATATATTCTATTTAATGTAGTCCATTCAATTTTTTCTCATTTCAGTATATATTCGGGTTCTGGTATGTTTTATACTTACAGCTCATCTCAGTCTGGATCAGCCATTTTGCAAGGGGTGAGTAGCCATGGGCTAGCAGCCGTTGGATTAATTAGTCCAGCTACAAAATAGTAGCCTCTGTCTCTGTAATCCTAAGAGGAGTTCAATTTTATTTTATCTGCTCTCCTTGAGTTCCATTAGAATGTGGCCAATACACTTTTTGAACAATCATAGTAAATCTTAATTCATGTGGAGACAGGGACCCCCCACGAGCACATTCCAAAATGGCAGCCTCAGTATACTGTCTACCTAAATCACAGGGAGCAGGAGTCCATGCTCCTGAGACCTGGTCCTGTCAGGAGAACTTTCCATCTTTTTTTTTTTTTTTTTTGGTTTTCCGAGACAGGGTGTCTCTGTGTAGCTTTGGTGCCTGTCCTGGATCTCGCTCTGTAGAGCTGGCCTCGAACTCGCAGAGATCCGCCTGGCTCTGCCTCTCGAGTGCTGAGATTAAAGGCGTGCGCCACCACCGCCCGGCAGAACTTTCCATCTTTAATCCTCCCCAGTCCCTGCTCTTCGGATGAGAGAGGAGCGTTTCTGTGGCTTGTGAAGGTCAGGTAGCCACTGCACAGAACGAAAGGGATTTAAGCCTATTTCAACGTGACCCATCACTCAAGCGGGTCAGGCATTCACTTGCTTCTCTCCTGCACACTCACTCAGTAGATCTGTGTCCAGAGCCAAGCCTGTGAATGGTTTGGGTGCGCACTGCGGCCGGCCGCTCTGCCGGGGTGGCCTCCACAGCACACTCTGAGAGACAGGGGGTTGAAAACAGTTTTCTCATGGTTTTCTGGAGTGCAGAAATCCCGTCTTTGTCCCCTCTTTGATGGTCACTGGAGACAGGATGATTTTGAGAGTGAGACCATCAATTCTCCAGCCTGTTCTGAATAGACAGCGTGGAGGGATCTTTGCATTGAAAATAAACCGGTTCTGTTCATGCTTTCCAAGAACTCGATAGGAACCAAATTAGAGCTGAGAATGTTTCCAGGGAAGTGCTGGATCTGGAGATGCTGGTGACAAGGCTGGCACAAAAGGAGAAGCCTGTGAGCCTAGAGAACGCAGGCTACACACTCGTGCTGCCTGGGAGGCTTGGCGTAACAATGGAACAAGGTCCGGCTCTGTCCTGCCATGCCGCTCTCTTTGTTTTAATTAAAAATAATCTGCGTGTCAGTGTTTCTCTATACAATGTACACAATGAGCTGCAGCATCTTAAATGTTTGGCAGGACATTGGTGCTCATGACATCACATGCTGGGAGGACAGGGAGGCCACTGTGGGACTGGCCCTGGGGACAGGCAGCATCAGTGCAGCCTTTGAGACGGCCCCACAAAAGGGTGTGTGACAGCAGATGTGCAGCTCATGGAGACTGAGGCGGGATTGTGGGGGGAACGTTGGCACATGCCGCTTGTCGCTTGAATAGCAGCTCTGCAGGAATCTATACTTCTTTAGCTCATGGATACCCAGAGCTCAGGCACTCGGCCGTGTCTGGAAGAGTGAGTGGAGATGGGGGGACTTGTCACTGCTTCATGTCCCTTTGTAGAAGTGAAAAATGTGGGACTCATTCCTAGAGGACTGTGAAGGGCAAGATCACATCCCGGGGAGCTTCAGGACAGTGGTGGCACCCATTGTCACGGCCAGGGCTTTTGTTTAATTAAGATGGTTTCATCTCTCTCTGCCAGGCTGAGTTATTTGTAGCTCAGCTGTGAGTCTCAGCAAAGTGAAGATTCTGATTAATTCATGTGGTCAGGCCCAAGATCCTGCATTTCTAAAAAAAGCATGGAATTTCTCGTTTTTCATTTATTTACACGTGTGTGGTCACAGCATGCCATACTGTCCCTGTGGTGGTCAGAGGGCAGGGGACGAGTTCTCAACTTCCACCACCAGGGCCCCAGGGACTGGGCAGCAAGCGCCTTTCCCACTGAGCCTCTGCATCTCTAACAGGCTTTCAGAATGCACTGGTGCTGAAGTGATCCCCTGGGGCACCTGGGTGACCGTCCTCTGGAGGCTGATCACAGGACATCCTTACACATGTACGTCACGAGGGAGCCTCCTCTGTGCAAGTTCCTGGGAATCAGTCCGGTGTCTTTCTGAATAATTCTGGGAGCTTTGTTGCCTGATAATTGTGATGTAGAGTCATTCATTTGCCTTTGGGGCTTTGGATCCTCACCAAAACATTAAGTACTCTGCAGGCCAACTCATACAGGTGAGCTGTCTCATGAAAGCTGGCTACTTAAGGCTAGGAATTCGGTGTGCCAGTTGGTGTCACACAAGTATCTGGACAACAATGTGGTGCAGTATTTACATTAAACACTACAAGACAAGCATTTCCTCCTGCCGGCTCCCACCTTCCGGGTAGTCACCAAACACTGGTCCACAGAGCCATCTCCGGGAGATCCATAATTAAGCTAATGAGTGAATGACACCTTAGTTGTGAAAGATGCATCCCTCATTTTCTTTAACTTCACATAAAGGAAGGTAGGGAGAACAAGGAGAATGTGGGGAAACTGAGGAAAGAAGATGAGCTGGTTGTCAATTTGCAATTGTGTCCTCATCCCATTGAAACACGAACCTTAGATGGGCTTATTCATAGAAAACCTGGAGCCAGGTATTGGGGTGGATGCTGAAAGATCAGAGAAGCAGAACAAGCCACAGCTTCCTCACCTCGCCAGTTCCTCAGCTGATCCTGTTTCCTCAAACTGAAAGCCTCTGAGTCCCCCCCCCCCCAATGGATCTCAGCTGAACTGCTGCTAAAAGTCTAAAAGCTTAAAAGTCTCTAGTTCTTGGTCCTTGCGTCTTATATACCTTTCTGCTTTCTGCCATCACTTCCTGGGAATAAAGGCATGTGTCTTTCCCAAGCAAGACATGAGATCTCAAGTGCTGGGCTTAAAGGCGTGTGCCACCATGCCTGGCTGTTTCCAGTGTGGCCTTGAACTCATAGAGATCCTGATGGATCTCTGCCTCCCGAGTGATAGGATTAAGTGTGTGTGCCACCATTTTCTGGCCTCTATGTCTATCGATGGCTGTTCTGTTCTCTGACCCTCAGTTAAGTTTTATTAGGATGCACAGTTTATTGGGGACACATTATATCACCACATTCTGTGTTGACTCTGAAGGCCTCAGTGGCCTGGGCAGGTGACAGCCTGCTTTCCCACCTCTTAAAGCAAGCCTGGATC